TGTGTCTCAGTTAAGCGTATACTTTGGAGCCCTGATGGTTCTCTATTTGGTAAGTTTGAATATATAGGACGACAGCTTTTTTCTGAAAACAGGTTTAATATAATTGTTCTTTCAAACAGGAGTTGCATATTCTAAACACATAATGCAATTATACACTTATTTGGGTGGGAATGAGATTCGCCAGCATTTGGAGGTAGGTTCTGCTATCTTCTACCTTTTCAGAATATTTAAGTTTGCTGTTTTCTTTTCTAAGAAGTTTTTCATTTTCTAGATTGATGCCCATGTTGGTAGCATTAATGATCTGGCGTTCTGTAACCCGACCAAGCAACTCTCTGTCATTACTTGTGGTGATGATAAGGCCATTAAGGTTGGTTAGAAAAGTGGTTAGATAGTTGGTCGTGGAAAACATGATATCTTATACACCAATTTTGTGATTTATAGGTGTGGGATGCATCAAATGGGTCAAAGTTGTATAGTTTTGAAGGTCATGATGCTCCGGTCCATTCTGTGTGCCCTCACAACAAGGAGAATGTCCATGTGAGGACTTCACTTCGTAATTGTTTTTGGTTGATTAGTCCTTTTTCATCTGCCTTCTATGAATGATTTACTCTTATGTCTTTTTCATCTGTCTCAGTTTGTCTTTTCAACATCAGTAGATGGAAAAATAAGAGCATGGTTGTATGACAATCTGGGATCTAGGGTGGATTATGATGCTCCTGGCCGCTCATGCACAACAATGGTCTACAGTGCAGATGGTAAAAGGTTGGTCTACAGCCATTCTAATGTTTTTGCGACCTATGCTTATATTTTGGGAAACATTAAAGTTCGATCTTTACATTAAATGCAATGCAGGCTCTTTTCATGTGGGACAAGCAAAGATGGAGAATCTCATGTTGTTGAATGGAATGAAAATGAAGGTGTAATAAAGAGGAATTACGTAGGATTTCAAAAACATTCTGTGGGTGTTGTTCAGTTTGATACAACCAAGAATAAGTTTTTGGCTGTTGGAGATGACCATGCAATCAAAGTTTGGGATATGGATAATGCCAATCTTTTGACTAATATTGATGCTGAAGGAGGCCTACCAGTAAGCTTCCTTTGAAATGTTCAGCATACTTCTGTTCTAAAAGTGGTGGTTCTACTTATACATTATTATTATTTTTCCATTTTAAGGCAAGTCCTTGCATTCGCTTCAACAAGGAGGGCTCTTTATTGGCTGTTTCTGCAAATGACAATAGAGTCAAAATTTTAGCTACGATGGATGGTCTCCGTTTGATGCGCACTTATGAAAGTCACTCGTTTATTTCCTTGAGAAATGCATCTGAGACTGTAACAAAGGTCAGCTTATCAAATTTCTATTAATTCCCTGAATAGAAGATTCTTTTTTCTTTCCTGAAGCTGTGTGCAAGAAGCAATCTTCCAAGTATTGCACCTGCATTTAATGGTTCTGGCCAAATCATGTTTTCCTTGTGCAATTTTGTACCATGCACGAAGTTTATGCTTCATCCTGCTCCTATATGTCATAAAAGTACTTCTAGTCTAATGAATTTAGCATGCTTGACAGAATGGTAGCACCAGAAACCTGGATGATGTGAAACCAAGATTAACTGAAGAAGTCAATACAAGGATATGGAAGCTCACTGAGATCAGTGAAACTGCTCAGCTTCGGTCATTGAGGCTCTCAGCTATGATGAAATCAGACAAGGTTTGATTTCTTATCTAATATTTAGCATCAGGGACTCTCAAGTATTGTTCATTCATTTCAGAAATAAGTAGGTATTCGTTTACTGGGACATTCCTGTGTCTCATTGATTATGCACTTCTGCTTCTGCACACTTTGGCCTTTTTTTTTCTTCTCAAAATTTATTGTTCACTGATTTTTCCAGAAAAAAGGGAAAAAGGTTTTTGTTACCTCTGTTTCTTGTAAAAGAAAAAGTAAGTTCCTCATTTGCTTCTTCTGTTACTATTACAGATCTCAAGGTTGACATACAGTAATTCAGGTAGTGCCATTTTGGCATTGGGATCCAATGCCATCCATCTACTGTGGAGGTGGCCACGGGGTGACCATAATTCTAGTATCAAGGTACAAATTCTCAATATTTGCTCTGATCCGGTTGCAAATAGTTCAAATTGATGATTATACCACCTTCATATTCAATCTGATTTTTTTCTTCTTTAATTCAATTCTAAAGTGAGGATTATGGCTGTGCAATTTTTATTGTCTAGGCGACAACCAAGGTTACCCCACAGTTAGTGCAACCGACTTCGGGCATTCTAATGACCAATGATCTTACTGGTGCTAAACCTGAATATGCACTACCCAGCTTTGCTTTGTCCAAGAATGATTCTTATGTCATGTCAACCTCTGGAGGGAAGATATCTTTGTTTAACATGATGACATTCAAGGTAAGTTTAATATATCAACATGATTCAGTTTCTTGTGTTTTTACACATGTACCTTAAGAAATGTGTTTTTTCCCCCAAAAATTGGTTGGGCTCTTGTCAATTTTTTACACATCAATGTAAGAGTTTATTTTCTCAACTACAGACGATGACAACTTTCATGTGTCCACCCCCTGTGGCAACAAGCCTTGCTTTCCACCCAGACGACAATAATATAATTGCTGTTGGCATGGATGATTCCACCATTCACATATACAATGCCCGTGTAGACGAGGTATGGTGGTTTCATAGCACAGTGCACATAGAATTGCAATTGCGCTTACTTGAGATATATATCTAGGTGATCACTTTGTTCCTGGTGTTAGGTTAAGAACAAGCTTAAGGGTCACTCCAAAAGAGTCACGGGTCTTGCCTTCTCCCATGTTCTGCATACACTTGTTTCTCTTGGAGCGGATGCTCAGGTTAGTATTCCATCCTCAACAAATTGGAAATATAATCCTACATCTTTCTAAGTAGGCCTCTCAGTGTTCTTTTCAAGTTAATATCAGGGAGAATTACAAAACAGGCACTTTCCTACTGATGCCTAGACATTAAAAACATTTAACAAAGAGGATCGTTATGAATAATTCTGACATATCATAATTTTCAATTTTGTTTTTTTTCCCCAGCTTATTGTGTGGAACTCTGATAAGTGGGAAAGGCAGAAGAACTGTTTCTTGCAAATTCCGGCTGGGAGGACACCTGCAACGATGTTTGAAACTCAGCTTCAGTATCACAAAGATCAGATACACTTCCTTGTTATACATGAGACTCAACTTGCAGTATATGAAACGTTGAAACTTGAATGTGAAAAGCAGGTAATTTCATTTCAGCACACACTTTTTTCAGTGGATCACTTAGCTCTCGAACAATTTTCTTTTATCCCCTGAATTTTTTTAATCACATCATGGTATTGAGAAGCACTTCACTTATCACCAACAAATAGAACAAATGACTGCTAAAACGCTTTGGCTTTCTAATAATTGACGAGAGCAGTCTCAGTATTATGATTTGCTGCACTGTGATATGTGACATGTTTTCTATTTCGTGTTTCAGTGGGTTGTAGGAGAATCTGCAGCGCCAATCTCGCATGCAGCATTCTCTTGTGATAGCCAGTTAGTGTATGCCAGCTTTCGGGATGCAACTGTGCGCGTGTTTAATGCATCAAATCTGCAAGTGCAATGCCAGATTAATCCCACTGCTTATCTTCCACCCGATTTCAGGTGATTGGTATTTTCCTTGATATCTTAAAAGAGCATAAACCATACTACAATAACAAGTTCTGCATCTCATCCCTATACTAAGTTGAACAAACTGTTACGGCTGTGAATGTCGATGGTCATTTCATTCTTAATTTCTGTTCTATTTTTCCTTTCTTCTGCTGCAGTTCTGCATCATACCCTCTAGTTGTAGCTGCACATCCACAAGAGCCAAACCAGTTTGCTGTAGGGCTAACTGATGGTGCAGTTGTGATCGTTGAACCCCTTGAATCTGAAGACAAATGGGGTGTGCCTCCACCTGTTGACAATGGGTTACAAAGTGTCTTCCATACTACATCTCCAGTCAATGCTTCCAGTTTGGATCAACCCTAGAGTTGATAAGGCCTAGTTAGGACTTTTGAGACTCCATATTTTAATAAAGCCTTAGGAGTTTAATTTAGTTTTCTTCTTTTTTCTTTTCTTTTGGCCATTTCTACAGGCCTAGTTGGATCTTTCAAATTTCTGGGGCAAGTCCCATATGCTTGTGATTTGTGCCCAGTGGTAATTGTCTCAGACTTTCTTGCTTTGCAATGAAATATTTAGCTTATTGCTGAAGATGGGACTGAAACTTTGGTCAAGATTTTAAATTGGGGTGGGCTTGGTTTTTCTCTATATCAACAAAATATCGATGTCGGAAAAACTTACGATGGGAGCTCAGACTTGTGGAATACAAAACTTACTTAAAAATATGGAGAAAGTATATGGAAGTTTGAATAAAATCTTGGAAAATGTTTTCTCTTATATTAAAAACTCTTGAATGAAATTTCGATATCCAAAAAAAAAGGAGGCCTAATTTTCCAATTCATTTGACTGAATTTTAAATTTCAAAGCTGGTCTAAAACTGGTAAACGACAGGATACTTGCTAAGTTGAAACTCTGGGGACCTAACTTAAAATCTACGCAGAATGCAGGGGCTGAAAACGTAATTAACCCAAAATACAAAGCCCAAATTTAAAACCGACAAGTCAATGAAAGCTAGCCTTAGCCTGACAGCTTTTCCTTGACGAAACAACAACAGTTCAATCATCGCTGTTAGATCGGATTTCACAAGCATGGTCTTGTCTTTTTTTATAGATCTGACGGCCCAAAGTTGTTCTGTGATACTTACCTGCTGTGACTATATCTTTTGTGTTACTCCTTCCAGAACCAGGTCCTAGTGGCTACGGTAGCGTCTCTCTCCCAATTACGATATCCTCAAAACCCTAGCTTAAGCCCTCAATTTCCCAAAACCCTAGATTTTCTCTCTTTAAATTCTCTCTCAATTAGGGTTTACTCTTTGTAAAAATAATATTTTTGGGAATGGAGATGCAGAGCCTCTGCTCCAACAGCCTTGTTTTGGATGGTTTTCTCTGCTCTGTAGTGCAGGCTATGGTAGCTGAGGCAGCCATTGTTGCTGCCAAGTCTATTGCTTTGTCCTTCTGGATGGTATGTGCTCTCTTACTTTATAATTAATTTTGCATCAACATGTTTTTCTAAAATGTTTTTAATATTTTTTTCTTGGTTGTAAGTTCTCAATTTTATGTTTTTACTTGGTTTTGTTTGGTCTAGTGCATTGGGGTTTCTCTGAGTATTTGGGGTTTTGTTTTTTTTGGTTATTTTGTACTTAAAGAACTTGGTTTTCTTCCATATGTGGCTTAGGCTTGTCTGGATTTTTGGGGGTTTTTTGTGCTTTTATGTTTGCGATGATTCTTTCACTCCCTAAGCTTTTCATAGTTTTTACTCTATTTAGGACTATAAGAATTTTATGAGATGCTTTTTTGTTTTCAATTTTTAGATATATCTTTCCCAAATCTTAGTTTTTTGTCATATCTTTATAAGAGCTTTGATGGTGTGGGGTTTTAATTACTGTATTTATAATTTGCTGAAAATTTTCCTGCTGATTCAAACTTGAACTGGCTTAGTACCAAATTTATAAAATAAATAAATAAATAAATAAAACTTGTGTTGGGCTAAAAGTTTTTTCCCCCCAAAGTGAATAGGCAGGCTATATAAACTTGAAAGAAGAGAAGAGATTGGGAGAGGATATGCTTTTAAAATTTAAATATGCCCTTTGTATAGAGTTTGACTTTGAATTGCCTGTGGAGCAAACCTTGTCAAATTTTGAATCATTCTTACCTGGAAATATGACAGAATATGTTTTATTTTGGGGGTTAAATTATATGATGGCCTGATCGATGCATACCCCTTGATTATCTCGGATTATCTGTGATAGAATTGATATGCTAAGTAACTGCTTGTTCTCATTATCACTTTTACTTTGAAATATGTCCTCGAGATGAGACAGAGTGTTGTTTAGGTAGGCCCATACCAAAGAGAAGTTGAAGAATTAGGCAAATGAGAGGGTGATGTTTTTTATTGTTTTTAGTTTCATTTTTGTTGCTGGAACATTTAAGTTTGCTTCGTTTTTCATGCTATTGTGGATTGAAATATGAAAATCCTTGTTATTGGCTGGAGGCATTCTCCATCTCTTTGCTGAAAATGTAGTCATTGATTATAGTTCCAACAATTGATAAAAAGTTCCCCTTTTAAGACTGAGTAAATGAAGCTTAGTGACCATTCAAGCTAAACTTTTTCTGACCTCTGTGTCCGTGTGGCCTGAGTTATCATGCAGCTACATGATTTTATACTAGTTTCACCTTGTTGCTCTTTTAGCCTCTGCCTTTAACTTTTTCTACATACTTGCTAAGCAAAATATTTAATTCTTCCTTTTATCTTCGTTCACCATGAGTTTATGGTTTTTCAGATGGGATCTATTCCTAACACAACCACTGTTTTTCCCAAAGAACCTGAGGAACTCACAGGGTTAGTGTTGTGACTTCTTTTTTCGTCAATTAATGTTGTATTTCTTTGATGGGGAAGTCAGTGAAGCCAATTTTTTTGTCTGCAGATTTCCTATCACTGAGCTTTTTGCAGTGGAAAAACCTGGTCCTGAGAACAAAGATGCAAGTGAAACTGAGGACGATGACGATGACGATGATGATGATGATGATGATGCTGCAGCTGGTGATGACCAGGATGATGATGGAGGTGATGCGGATGATGCCTCTGGGGAAGAGAATGAGGGTAAAGCAAATCCGGAAGACGAGCCTGAGGCCAATGGTGATGGTGTGAGCGAAGAGGATGGTGATGATGATGATGATGACGACGATGACGACGATGATGATGACGGCGATGATGGGGAGGAAGACACTGAGGACGATGAAGAGGATGAGGAAGATGAGGAGGAGGAAGAGATACCTCAGCCACCTGCAAAGAGGAGGAAATGAAGTTTTTCATTGGTTCTTTTAACTTTGCTGCCTTTTCTGGTTACCGGGAATTTGGGTTTGTAGGAGTTGAGTAATTTAGGTGGCATGTCCACATATGGTAGAAATGTTCACTGTACTTGTTCTCTAAGCTATCAAAATTCTTAGTTCTACACCTTTAATATATATCTCCCTCTCTCTTTCTCTGTGCGGATGGAAATGACAATGCCCATTTATGGGATACTTTTAACATTTGGTTGCTAAATCACAAAGCTCTATCTGATTGTGTTGATAGATGGTCAAATACGTAACATGGGATTCGGATCCTCTTCTTGGGTTTCCTCTACTTTTTATTAAAACTCATCCAAAATCTAAAAACGTGACAGTGCATCTGTTCCCTTCAGTCTTCTTCTCCATTTTAACTGCAAAGAACTGGACATTTTTCTCTCAAAAGCAACTCTTCTCCCGTTTGAAAACTTGTTTTTGTCTCCTCAAATGTAGGCACAACGTCATATATGGGCATAAAAGCAGTATTTCATTTTTGTTTTTTTTAAAATATTGGATTCAATGATTCATTAAAAAGAATCCCAAAAATATAAACGGACAAACTTAGCACCATATACAGAAGAAGTGAGGGAGAAGGAGAAGAAGATTTCGAAGATAAGCTAACAGACTTGCGCACATCCATATATCTTAGGAAAAACTAAAAAATTTAAAGCCACTTCGTTTATGTTTTTTTTTTCAGCAACTTTAATAATCTTTCATATAAGAGTTTCTTCTCTTTGCACTTAAAATACTCTGTTCGTCCCCTTAAAAAAGAATTCTGCTTGGTTGTTCATTTTCGTTCAAATTAGGTTTATAAATAATTTTTTTATATTCCAAATCATAGGTGTGGTCATTAAAAAGTAAGGACCAGAATAGTGATTTAAGATGAAGAGGAGTGGCATAGCTTTGAGAGAGAGAGAGAGTAAAATTGTGTTTTCTGCAGCTAATGCATAGAAGAGTGAAGAGAAAATACGTGGATGGGTCACGTTTTTAGCCTTTGAATGAAACTTAACTGATGTGGCATGCTTAGAATTAAGCCAATTAGATCCTAGCAAAGGATTCGGATCCCATAATATGATAGATGGATTCTCTAAACAAAAATGTTGGCCAGATTAAGTCAAATTTGGGTCGGGTGTCTGTCAATATGTTAGACAATTTCCTTTTAAAAAAAATAATACGAAGGGGGCATAATCCAAAAATATTGTCATCAAAGAGTCATACTGGGAGCTTGTAAATAATGTAAATAACTGAGCATTATTATATATTATTGCAGCATGTAAATATCTGATTTTGTTACATTAGATTAGAAACGAAAATCCATAGTTGAATTCAAATCACTTTTTCCAAAAGCTTCAAACTTTTTTCTAGGCCTCCTCTCATTAACAGCCACCACTAATAACAGAGGAGCTAGGCAATAGAAGGAAAGGAGGATCCCAAGCATAGGAGAATTTCACAGAAGCACCAGCATCCAAGAGATTGCCCATGATGAGGAGGCACACGTCACCTTGCTTTTTCAGGATTGCTGGATCAACAGGCTCTGTAGTCTGGAACCCTCTGCAGCTCAAAACTATGGACGTTTGAGCACATGCGCAGTTGTTGGTCACAACCACATTCCATTCTGGCTTGCCTCCTCTCTCTCTCCCACTTCTGGCGGTGCCAATGTTAATGTTGTTCAAAGTGCAAGCACAAAACCCTGCAATTTTGATGAAGGAAATATGTGAAACCTTACTATAAGAAAAACTGTCTTTATATATATTCGTTGCATGGAAGAATTTTACTACAGAGAAATTGTCTTAAATTTACGGTAACATTGTTATATACGTCGGTTGCATATGCAAGAATTTTATTATCAAATTTAAGTCATTTGAGATGCACTTCGGGTGCCGAAGTAAATCAATGGATAAAAACTCTACATTACTACTTTTACCTTTGCTAACGAGACTCAAAAGAAGAACCAGAACCAAGGACTTGGCAATGGCTTCCATTGTTAAGAAATATTTCAGTGATGAGATCCTTGGTGGTGGATTATGTTCTTATTTATATTCACTGGATTATGAATTCTAACAGATAACTTTGGTAACGCCATAAATCCGCTCTGAAATTACGTCTTTCAATATTTTCTTTGTTCTAATGACATAAATATGGTGGTCAACACCTTAAAGAGATACATTGTATTTTTTTTTGTTGGGTGTTTTGTTATGCAACCAAAAACAGAGCATGTAACATATTTATTTATTTTAGTTGACCATAATATATTTTCGTTGTCACTCCAATTTTTTTATTTATTATTTATAATTCACTCTTTTATTTGCAATTTCTTTATATAAGAAAGTAGTACATGAAATTGTTTTTTGAGTGTAAATAATAATTCCCTATTTTTATAGGACATTATTTTTCACTAATTTTATTATAATTAATCCTTCTAAGACCTTGAATAGTAATTAATTTGGTAACCATTTATAACCAAGGCCGGCCATGGGCCTGGGCCCTTGAACAAGGGGCCCCAAATGTTTTAATATTTGTATATTAAAAGTCAGTCATTTTATTAATTAGCTAAATGGTCTGTAACACATCAATGCTCCACATAAAAAGAGATTAATATTCTAAACGTACAACTTGTAATTCAAGTGATTAAGAGCATTTACGTGAAATTTGGTGCTCGACTTCTCTTTGCCCCTGTGCTGCTTGTATCAACAAGTTGACTTGTTAACTTCATCAACCATTAACAAGCATACTGGTAAACAACAATTTATGATCAATGAGGAGATGGACCTTTAGACTCCAATGGCATGTTTACGTATCAGTAATGAAGAAACTATGGAATCAAAGAATTTAAGAATCGGAGAACTACTGAATCGGTATGGGAAGAATCATTCCCATTAAGCTGTTTACTAAACATATGGAATTAGCAATGGAATGGGATTGATTCTCATTGTTATTGTTTACTAATTTGCATGAATCAGAATCCAAATTAATTTTAGAATTATGGTTAAGTGATAAGGGTATTTTTGGAAGTTATTAAGAGAAAACAGGAATGAGAATCGTATCGACTACTCCCCCCTAGTTGATCTGATTCCTAGTTTTAAGGGAATGTAATTACGGATTTTGAGGTGGGGCCCACTTATTTTTTCATTCCTGATTGCAAGTAAATGCAGAAGAAGTTAGGAATGGAAATCATTCCATGTCCTTCCATACCCATTACTGATACGTAAACATGCCCTAAATCTAATTCAATAAGAAAATGAACCCAATTGGTAGAAGAAGACCCACAATTTGCCGCAAGCTCTAAGACCGAGGTTGCTTTGAAGGAATACCACCCATTATATGGCAACCATATTTAATGTTGATTTGTGTGACATATCATATTTAATGTTAATATGTCAATTTGCATGATTTCGAGTGATACTATTTCCACTTCCTGTTCTATATTTTTATTCATGTTTTCTTCCCACTCATCATGTAAATTTGAAAAACACAATCCTATCTTTCTATTTACCATTATTCCTAAAATGCTATTTAATTATTAATATAAGTAAATTCTCTTTGGTTTGGGTTTTCTCATAATTAAAACATACAAATATATTTCCTAAAAAAACGTAAATTAAAAATCCTAAATAAGCGCCAAGTTTAATGCCTTTCTTCCTTTCTCTGCAAGCGTCTACCCCCCTTAATACTGGGGAGTTATATTTTCTTTCTTTTGATCCCTTTTTTTTGTGTGTTTTTTGTCAGTGTAAAAAAGGTAAAGTTTTTTTTTTTTTTTTTTTTTTTTTTTTTTTTTTTTTTTCGTTTAACTGTAGAATTTTTTTTTAGGCTGGGTTCGTTTAATTTGAATTTGATTATAAGTTTAAATGATGCAAAATCAAAATAAGTTGCTACAATAATAGGTACATGTGTCAACCCAGGTGTCAATATTTGCAGGATTGAACATTAGGGATTGCCAAGAACTGTTAATCATATGGGAGAGACCTTTCATTTTTTCTAGATTGAAGGGTCTCTTTTTGATCTTTAAAATTCTAGCGTTGTGTAGTTGAGTGAGTGTGGCTGCTGGGTTTTCGCTTTTTTGTTTTTGTTTTTTTTTACCATACAAACTTGAACAACTCACCCGGTAATCCACCATGAAAGCAACATGTTTGAATGGGCTTGTGATGTGTTGTGTTGTGCGTTTGTTAAGGTTTTTTTTATAAAAAATTTCTCTTTTTTTTTTTTTTTTTTTTTTTATAGTCATTTTACAAATGAGTAAAATAAATGAGGAAATAAGACAGGTTATGGAAATAACAGCACTAAAAAAAAACCAATTGGCTCATCCGCATGGTCATTAATAATTTTTTTGATATAAACCTAAAAAAATGGGCCTAAATTGATCCTACAGAACACGTGGATTTTCTTCTAAAAAAACACATGGATTTGCCTAATGAATGCTTGAGCTTTTGGATTAATATTTAATTTTCTATTTTTTGTAAGTATTTTGGAATCAATCTCAAAACAAAATTATGAGTTGGGAAAGAATCGTATAACCCAAATGTTCAACGGACCAACAATACTTTTTTTTTTCTTCTTGATCTATAAATTGACCCAAGTATGCAGAACAAAAAATCAAAGCACAAATTCTCTCTCCTCAATCAATTACAGTTGATCTCAGAGGAAACTGGCTTGAATGAGAATTGTGTGTCCCAAGCATATTTGAAACTAATCTGAGAAAATGGTATAAGAGATGAGCCATTGTTGAGGAGACACTCATTCCCAGATTTGAGCAATGTCAAAGGGTTGACTTCTTCAGTAGTTTGAAATCCATTGCAGCCTAATTTCACATTCCCTTGAAGACATGGGCATGCATTCAGAACCTTCACCTCAAATTCCGGCTTTGCTTGCACCAAAACCCCAGTTTCGTCTTGGCTAATTTGCAGGTCATTTGTAGAGCACTTTTGGCTCATGCCTGTGATAAAAATAGATTGATAAATGATAATAAGAAATTATAAACC